TTTGGGGGAGCGGGTTGGTAGTGTATTTGTTCATTGTGCAACTTGAAGTATGTGGTCTTTGCTATTCCTTTTTAGTCGGAATGCAGACACTGGTGTTGCAGACAGCAGAGTGGAAAATAGGATACAACAATCGATCCACAAACAACTAGAATCTCGTATACGATCAAAATGTGTGCTTCAGGTTGAAATTCACATTGATTGAATGAAAACCATAGAACGCACGTGGAATTATATTATAAACACCATTGATAATTTGAATCTTTTTAGTAATAGTATAAATAATAATCAGCTTGTATTTTTGGACGCGGGGGGGGGGGGGGGAGNGGAGATTGGATAACAATTTACTTTAGCTAACATTCTTGAAAGTGCATCTGGCAACATTGATGGATTACACAATGTGTGGTAATATAGTGAATTATATGTTTGAATACTTCCTTCTTCCTCAAAATGAATTGGATCTTGGAAGTAAAAACAAAAACAAAGAGTTAAATTGTTGGAGTTAGCTAAAAAAAAATAAAAACTCATGAGAATCAATTGCAGAACACTGCAGGGTATCAGCTTGAAAGCCGAGTAGCCCATCGATATGATTCCGTAAGATGGTTAGACTGTTTGACACGTTCCACAACTATTCACTTGATCGTTGTTTTTGTTGCAATGAAATTTATTTGCCCTTGCTAGACTTGGTGAGTAGCTCCTTTGAGGAAAATTCAGTTTCCGTATTCATGTCCCTTTCGTCAAAGTACATATTCCGACTGTCTTTTTGCAGAGGAAAGTTGTTCTATTTCTCAAGATTGGAATGCTCATAAGGTTGAGTAAATCCGGTTGAGAATCCCACCCATTTTTCCTCTTCCAATGTGAAACGAAGCATCCGTACTGATCACTTGACCGGAAGTAACCTTTGTAGTTCGGCTTTCCTAAAATTAAAACTATTCAACTCCGAACTGCCTTGCTCCGTGTTTTTGACCGTGTTAAACGTTTTGTACATCAGATGATTTTTTGACTTTATCTTATATGTGATACCCTTTATCCGCTGTTCACTAGTTTGACCAAGGTCATTCCTCAAATCCGTGCGTGCGGAACTCGAACTACATGTACAAGTCGTTCGGACAGTCACGTCTTTGTTTCACTCGTGTTTCAAATTTATCATAGTAAATTAGAATAAAATAGACTACATAACTCGTGCACATCTTCCATGTGTTCTATGAGATTGCGGACATCGTCGGATCAAACCCAACCTGAGATATGTACCAGCTGACAATAAACGCCTACAAAATTAGGTATCTGGGTGTATGTCTATATACAAAGTAGAAAAAGACAGGGAAAGAGACAGAAAGAAAAGTCTACAGAAATTGAAAAAGGTAGCATTTGGATTGCTAGGCATATTTTATGCACAGAACACAGGCAGCTAACATCGAGGTGGCCGATAACCGTTTCGGTAGTATGCATTCACTCTCACAGAGACAATTGGTTGCTTGCTTGTGTGCCAGTCTGTCTCTTCCGTATTGCATAGTTGTTTACCTCCTCGATTGCATAAATACCCGTATGCATGTTAGCCACTCGGAATACAAATCAGAGAATATCCACTGAATAGCAATGTAAATACATGCCTTGAGTGGCCAAAATACCAGCAACAACAACAACAACAACAACAACAACCACACTAGGAACAACAATAGCAACAAATGCAGTGGCCTGCGGTCTAATACAAAACGCTGACGTACAACACAGCACTGATTTTGTTCGTCGCAATCAGATGGTTCACACTGTGTTGAATTGGACACAAGCTCGGGGGGAGAGTGAATCTGTATCAAGTCACAGACTGTTCATACGTGTGTAGCACTGAATAAGGGGATGGGTGAACACTCGCCTTTGACGCCCTGTGCTCATAACTCCTCTTCCTGTGCGCATACGTCCTGTCGTTTGAATCAGCTTGCTTTCACGCATCCCAAATATCATTTACAACTAAGAACGCACCCTTCCTTGTACAAATCACAGTGCACATATCTCGATTTCTACTGAGTTCATTATTTTCACGAAAATGCATTATTTTTATGGTATGTTATATTTTTACAATCATCCATTACTTACCAAGACATGTTGTGAATATTAATTGTTAAATTCAAGTGGCTAATGAAGCAGCTAATCGGTAGCTATGACGGACTGTGCGGGGCTCGCAGTTAGTTTACTATGTTGAAATAAATTATTCATATTGTGTCCTTGAAGGAATAAGGGGACTTTTTAGATTTCAGACTGAACTTTCTTGTGCACAGATTAAACCATATGAGAACCCCCACGAACCGGAAAGACCTTTGAATATGATTTCATTCCATTCAGGAATGCTCAGCAGCGCTAAATTTTAAATCACTTTGGAAAACGACACCCAAAAGCAAAGACTGAAACTAAGCTCATGAAATCTAGCTCATTAGATAGACACCTGACCACATTGCCTCCGTTTATCTAAGAGCGGGATAGCACAGCTCATTTTAAGGCATTACTGACCCCATTCATTACCGAATCTGCTAATCAGATGCATTTCAGACAGAAAAATAAATTGTACCACAATGTAGGCATTTTAAAAAAATCGTCTGCAGTTAGTTACTTCCTCGAAATATTCATCACGAAGAGACTTCAGCTTGATCTGATGTAGTTTCTTGTGTGCTTCAATGACCCTGCAAGCTATACAAGAGAACTCCTCAAATCCACAGATGCAATGAAGCCTAAAAGACCAATGGATATAAGCTAAACAAAGCTCAATCCTAAAAGGTCAACAGCTCGGGCACCTCATGCAATCTTTTACCTACCCACTGTAGCCCCTGGAGAGATTACCCTAGCAAACAAATACAAAGATGAGCAGTTTACCGGTCAAAACCTCGCTTGGTGGATGTAAGAGTGGGGTAACTGGAGCTTCCTCTCGACGACATGAGAAATTTTTGCACTTCATTTGGCAGCTGCCGCCCACCCTATTTCGACAGCCTCAAGCCGATAAAGTGTTTTGCCGTCTAAATCTCACGTTTTATTGGGTGCATGAGGCTTAGGGTCTATCCAGAGCAGCGGATCATCAATCTTTGCACCATTGAACAACACTCTAAAAACAAACTCAAAGGTCTTGCGTGACACTTATCCAGGAGTATTCGTTCAGGGTGCTTCGCTCACGCTTCTGCAATAAACTAGGTCCCCCTGCCTTGAAAGGGAGACCCTTGAATCAAACGGTCTGGTAAGGGTTATTTAAAAAATCCCATCTGCCTTATGGGTCAAACTTCAAGGTCAGAAGCTCCGGTCGGGGGTCCCGAAAATATCTTTTTGTCAACATGAGGCATCGTGAACTGTCGTATCCCCAAGTGTCTGGAGCCAGTTTGAAAAAAGACCTTTCTTGTTCTTCTGGTTTTTCTTCCCATCCTCAAATCTCAAGACATGCCTCTTGCTTTTTTTCACTCACGGGATATTACTTAGTGTTCAACCAGAAATGTGAAACAAACAGAAGCTATTGGTTTGCTGAAAAAAGACATCTTCTTTTCATTCAGCCGCATTTAATGTTCGCATACTCTATCAGGTCGACCAATAAGCTTCTTAGATTAAACGTCTGGACCTTTCAGTTTAGACGTATGTTGCTTCTCCGAAACACGTATGTAAAGCCCACTTTAATCATCACCTTCCGATTTCCAGATCGGGACTCATCCTTATGCTTCACTCTCCGTGTATCAGGCACTTTGGCATCCGACGCTTACGGTTTTGCTGGTGTCGGGATTGCATTGTATGAAAGCCGATCGTTCAATTCTTGATTGTATTCCAGGCAATGGCCGAGTTTATGTAGTACTTTTTGGCAATTCTATGTGGATCAACATGTACAGAACAAAGCATCGATGCTTACTTATCGTAACCGTACATGAGCCGACTGCTTACAATTAGCCAACTGAGGGATAATTCCTAAAAGGACCTCTCTCAACCACCGTAAACTATCCTCTCAACAGAAATCATGGTTTTCCCTGTTGATTTCAATGATCGGATGGGATCCACACGTAATCCAAGTGAATGGGACGAACAATGCTTATAGCCCACTGTTGTGCAGACCAAGACTGTTCCTGTCCAATATCAACTTCTCTCACAAGAAACGACAGCCTTACAGGAAAACCGCCCACATCATCACGGCAACTAACTCGAACAGACCACATCGCCATCAGTAATCGCTGGGAGTCTATTCAATACACTCGCTCCTAATGTTCAATACCCATCGAGACGGGCCATAATGTTTGACGAGCCACATTCTCCCTACACCTGTCAAATAACCGCCAAAAGAAAGAATAAAAAACCGCCGCCCGAAGTTACTTTTTCAGTGACTGTTAAAATTCAAAACTGATCCATCGTGAAATAATTATATGAAAAAGGCCTGATTTTGCTCACTTAGTTTCACTGATTTCTAGTTCCTAAAATAGATGTAGACTGAATTCTCGGTCTAGAATGCGGGGCCACTGAGGCAACAGTGGTATTTGAAACGCTGATCAGTTCGTGACTTGTTGGTCTACCTTACTGGAATGGATACATAAGAAGGCTTCAAGAAAAGAATTATCTGAAGCGAGAATAATGCCTCTTTGTTAGCGCATTGCAGCGCGCAGGGAGGTTCTTTTGCTAGTGACGAAAACACGAGAATCCGATCGTACGGAGGGGAATACAGATCTTCAAATTGGCAGGGAATCTCCAAAGATCCAGACGGTAAAAATGGTGAGGAACAATGATAATCAGGAATCAAATCTTTTGGAAGGTTTGTGCCGACCGAAGTGAAATAGACAAAATTTCAAATAATTGATTGATCTTGGTTGCCAGTACACATCTCAATTACATGTAACTGTTAACGATTGTGTAAGTGCGGCCTGAATGCTGCTGATGTTCACCGACCGTTATTTAGTATTCGCCTTCATGCATGATTTTTAATCATCATTCCAGTCGATTACACCTTTTACCAACCACTTGGCGAGCGCTAAACTTTCCTTTCCTTCCTACTGTTATCATTCGATCATGTCATCGTGCTCCTTCACTGACAAACCCTTCCGGCATGGGAAGCGTGTTGGATGGAATGCAAGCCGAGGATTGTGCAGATGAGCAGGATCGATCGACAGAGCACCGAAGCGGATGACCTGTATGTCAGCCAGGGATATTTGTTTGTTCGTGTGTAAGGTGGTCATTTGGGCTGCAGGGTTTGACATGTACTTTCGGGGCTGTTGGATAGTGTGACATAATTTTGATTAGTTCGAACAACTGCAAACAAACCAGTGTTCAAACTACGTGCAAAACCCCTGGGACCGAGTCCAGGCATCCACACCTGGGGTCACATGCGGCCTCTCACTAGTCGAATGGACTTTTGCATTGATGGTATATCGACCGCTCTGAGGTCGTACGTAGTTTTACGGTAATTGGTTGTTCTGATCCTTAATGTGATAGATCTCTGGTTTTCTTCACAAAATGCACCCACCTCTCATGAACCAGGGGCACAATATTTATGTTGTGTTGATTGATATTTTACCTTGAAAATCAACACCGTTTTTAGTCCTGAGTGAAATCGACTGAACCATGCAATTCATAGAGCGTTGTAAGAAAAGAATAATTAAACGTGTTCGTGAAAACTCACAGACAACAGAATGTTATTCTTCCTGTTTCAGTCTCAATCCCAGGGAATTATATTAATCTTCATGTTTGTCATTATCGTTTTATTAACTTAACCGTGTGCTTAATGTTTAGACCAACGAAAACGCATCCCGGAGTTAGATATTTGCCCCTAAAACCGAATTTTCGCAGTTCGAGTACAGACAAGGACCCAGAAAATTACCCGCTACTGATAACCTCGAACAATGGGCAAAAACGTTGTCCATGCTATTAGTCCGGTGTTGTGAGATTCGCTAAGTACACAGAACAATATTGGCCTACCAAAACGCTCTCGAAAGAGAGCTCGGACACCGTTGGGCTTCCTCTAATGTTTCATGCGAATCTCAAAGAAAACCTACCTAAGAGCTGAGGTTTATCTCTTTATCGCAAAGTTTTCATACACAGGCAATTGAAAAGTTTCTTTTTTAACGGTACCACCACCGCTACAATAAACCGTCACAATGAAATTAGATCTGAGTTAGTTAGTTAAATCAAATACGGATAATGCAACCAATTCTAACTTCTCACGCCCCCGAGATTCGTAACTTCAAAACATTTCATTAGATTGTGACTCAAATATGAGAATTGTTTGATTTTTCCGGGGAATGGGTCTTCTGGCTGGGTGCTGAAATATGACAATTTGACCGTCAAATAATCTCTCTCGTGTTCTTTTAGGTAGTTCACCTTTTTCGCGTCCTATTTGAGTTTGTTTTCACCGCTCAATGTCAATCGGTGTCTAGACAGGGATACAAAACAAAAACACAACCGGGAACAGATAGTAACAACTTCATGCGGTGCGAATCAATCAGAACAGTGCGATAAATGTAGTCGAAACACCCTCCCGCTCTCATCTCTACTTTGAAAAGCGTCATTTCTTCACATTTATCTTTCATCCAAATGTACTATATATTCGCTTTTCAATACTTTCACTTTATCGCATCAAGATTGCAGGTCGCGAGATATGAACATTTCGTTTAGTCTTTTCAATCGCTTACGTAAAACAAAAAAGCACAGTTATGGCACAGTGGATTTGTAAATCCTACTGAGTGGACATGTACAGGGGCTATTAGAATTAAAAGCAAGAGGGCAAATCCACGGCAAGTGAAATAATTATATCAATAGCATTTGGGGACCCAGTATTTCAAACGCTCACTTTAGTTAGTTTCCAGACCCTGCTCATTAGATTTATTAAAAATATTCCTCAATCTTTTTGCGTGCTGAAGAGGGGTAATTATGGAGCCAATTGCTGTTAAAAGCAAAATTCTACAAGATATACAGTCTTTTTGACTGAACGACGATAACACGGCATGTTAAAAACTTGGGTATAATGTATTTGATATGTAGTACCAAAGTCTTGGGCAAGTGTAAATGTGAGATATTGAAACATATGTATCATATCATATGATCCAAATCGAATGTCCCCATACACGCATGTTTGTTTGATGTAGAACTGATCACTGGACAGCAAGGGGACCGGCGGAGTGGGGGTAGGAATAGATGGAAAACACAAAGAAAAGGACTCACTCTGGATTTGCGAGACCGGCCTACTCACAAATGGATCAATAAACTCGGTCCGATCAAAGTCTTGCCAGTTCATCTGACCATTCGGTTCCGCTGGGGTAGAGCAGGCAATTTCAAAAGGATCATCGAACTTCGTCCAGGACGACTGACGCTGATCACAGTGAACCAATGACCCGAGGATAAAAGGATCCCGCAAGAGTGCCAGGTGAGGAAGAGATCAGTGGGCAAAAAGGGGTTGGGGGGAGGGGCAAAGCAACGTGAAACATTGGGACGAAAGAGAAGAATGAAAGATTGTTTCGCCTTTTCTAAACGCAAAAGCAGGCCAACAAATTAACAGATCGGAAACACAGTCCTGCATAGACAATTCAACTACCTTCAGTTCTATCCTCATCC